ATTTTGAGTTTGAATGGAAGATCTTTCTTTTTGCAACTGTTTGTGGGGCAGTTTTTTCTCCAGTCAATGATAATTGGACCATTTGAAGCCAAGTGGAAGGTAAAGGGACTTCACCTGTTTTTGTGACTTTGTTCCTTTTGTATCCCACCCTGGATCATCACACATGTTCTCCAACACAGGACTTTCACAGGCTCTAGAGATCACTGGATCGGTAACCTGGGATGCCGCCTTGGTAAGGTATGCGTGGAATGTACTTCTGGCTTTGATTGCCTTACTGCTCCTCCACACGGACCCATCACTTACCTGCATCCCAAACTGGTTGCATGAAGGGGAGGGGCAGGTGGGGTAGGGCCAGCCGGTTGCTTCAACTACCTGTTCGGCAAACCAGGTGTAAATTTAACATCCAGTTCGCGCAAACTGACCCAAACCGGCTGAATCCCACCCCTGGTTGTAACATTGAATGGACACTAAACAAACTATTATAAGCTGATGTTCTGACCCAAGCCTTTTTTCCAATGAAACAAACACAAACCAAAGGGAATATAAACTTTTTAATGGTTTTTACGAATCCCCCGTTAAAAGGCTACTGCAAACTAATTAACTTTGATAAACTGCGCGAGGCTGCCAAGAATAACAGATAAGAGCGCCTAGAAATATTTCACAACACAAGAGTCGTCAAAGACCAACTTAAGATACTGTAATGTCCACGAGGCTGAGTTTCAAAACATCTTTGCTTCCTGCAAAGAACGTCCAATTCACAGTGGGCTTTTATCCTCTTGAAGGAGGGGCCATTACTTTGCAGCCTTACTCCTGAGTCACCTGTGCTGCTGCAGCTGCACTTTCCTGCGAGCAGCCCTGTGCGCACGCGCACTTGGCACAGGCTCCTCGGGAACCTCCTCATCGCTGCTGCCAGCCCCCACAATCTCTGAAGGCAGCAGTCTACTCCCTTAATGGTCCTGGCCCCACATCCGAGTCCTCGCTCTCCTCAGCCGTCTGCACCTGGTGCCGGCGAACCACAACAGCTGAGGACTTTCCTGCCCTGTAATTCCAGCTTTTGCAATGCTGATGCACTTCACACCATGTCACGATTTCAGCAGCATCCGCGTGGAATTTCTCTGCAGGGGTAGCCCGTTGCTTCTCCTAATCTGCAGTCCGAAGGAGCCGGAGAAGGTGTTATTTGTGCAACTCTTCTCATTTGCATCCAGTCAAGGAAGAACCAACTTCACACTTCTTTCTTTTTTTTTTTCACTTCCCTATCGAGCCGACGAAATCTGAGATCAAAAACCTCCTCCTCCCCACCACTTTTTTTTTTTTTTGCTATATGCAATAGGGAGGTAACTACAGTACATTGACTGAGATTAGAAATGAAATGTTACACCGCACGCAAGATTGATTGTACAGAGGTTTTCCCTCCCACCCCATTTGAAGGTGGCAACGTGTGTTACGTTCCTGTCCATCAGGTTGTTAACTAACCATGAAACACAAACAGAAATGTTAGCTCTTGCCCCGATTTCTTTTCTTTTCTTTTTTCTTTCTTCTCCTTTTTATCAATAAACATCGCGGGGGAATGACTTCACCGAGCTGAAAGGAGCTGTGTTTTCAGCCTGTCAATCATGGGTCTCCAGAGATGGGATTTAATGAAAGGGAGAGGGCTGATGGGAAAACTTGCCCTTAAGATTGGGGGGAAAAAAATAAAATAAAATAAAACCCATCCTTGGGGGGCACATCACGCTGGGAAATTTTAAGGCGGAACTTTGAACTGTCCTTGATCAGTTGAAGGAAGATCTCCGCTGCTTTCTTCTCCGATGGCTCCCCAAAAGAGATACAACAACAACAAAAATTGGCCAGTCCTTAGGACCAAAAACCAGGAAGTTGGAAGTTAAAACCCACCCTTCTCCTAGGAAAATGAAATGTTTTAGGATATACTAAAAAGGCAGAATATTTCCCCTAAAAGAGAAGCAGAAACTCAGAGAGGCAGACTTACCACCACCACCCCAATCTTTGTTATTCATGGGCCATTAAGGCCTAGGCCAGTCTATTCTACATAACAAAGATCTATGTTATTCTACATCACAAAGATCCTCCTTCCGGCAGAGCCATTTCATTGCCCTTCATTGCATCGCCCAGAAAGATTCAACCAAACTTAGCAGACAGACAACCTACAAAGTTAGCTATGATCTCTGATAGCAACCAATCAGGATACTCTTCCTGTACCCCAGGAAGTTCAAAGCCAGAGAGGGCATCAAACCCAGAAACTCTCAGCATTTCTTCCCTTTTCTGCCCAGGAACCCATCCCGTTCATCCATAAACCATCTTTCCAAACAGTCACCATGTTTCCAGGGTCTTTCTCCCCACTTGGAACTGAACCCAGGTGGGCCTTTCTTCCAACAGTACCACGATTCGTGGTGTTTCTCAGATAGCTCATGGTCTCAAGCAAACACACCTTCCGTCTCTCTACAGTTACAAAGAGGTGTCCTTAATCACATCTATAAAGGAGTGAAAGCTGTTTGACTGATAGAAACATAGAGTCACGGGGCTGGAAGGAAGGGACTTTGGAGGTCTTCTAATCCGACCCCTTGCCCAAGCAGAAGTCCTCATACCATCCTGGACAAATGGTTGTCCGTTTTTATTTTTATTTGAAGACCTCCAGCACTCACAACTCCTTGAGGGAAGCTGTCCCATGGATTAATTGTTCTCACTGTCAGGAAATTCCTTCTTAATTCTATGTTGGGTCTCTGTTTAATGATCTTCATCCCATCAGCTTTATAATGCCTCGGGAAGGCCACACTTGGAATACAGCATCCAGTTTTGGTCGCCGTGAGGTTAAAAGGATGTTGAGACTCTAGAAAGAGAGCACTGAAAAGCAACCAAGGGGATTAGGGGACTGGAGGCTAAAACATATGAAGAACGGTTGCTGGAACTGGGTATGTCTAATTTAATGGAAAAAAAAGGACTAGGGGAGACAAGATAGCAGTGTTCTGACATCTCAGGGGCTGCCCCAAAGAGGAGAGGGAGTCAAGCTATTCTCCAAAGCACCTGAAGGCAGGACAAGAAGTGATGGATGGAAACTCATCAAAGAGAGAAGCAACCTAGAACTAAGGAGAAACTTCTTAACAGTGAGAACAATTAATCAGTGGAACAACTTGCCTCCAGAAGTTATGAATGCTCCAACACTGGAAGTTTTTAAGACGAGATTGGAGAACGATTTGTCTGAAATGGTATAGGGTTTCCTGTCTAAGTGGGGGATTGGACTAGAAGACCTCCAAAGTCCCTTTCAACACTGTTATTCTATTCTATTCAGCTTCTACCTATTGCTTCTTGTCCTGGTTTCAGGTACTATGGAGCTATCGAGGGTTCTATGTCCCAAATAAAGTTATGAACATGATAAACTTTTGGGAAAATGTTTAGGAAATGCCTTATCTCCACACTCCAAACTTGCCTTGAGAGAAGCTAAAGGAAAGATAAGGATACATATGTCCAAGCATGACCTGATGTCTTCCTTGGACATCATCCACCAAGAAAGTAAGAGGCTTCCTAACAGGAGCAACAATGATGAAAATTCTTTAATTGACCAATACACGGACACACTTTAACGTAGTTTCAACTTGATCAACGCTAGGAAAATCCTGGAAGTTTGCCACTCAGGCAAATGAGGCATCCACAGGCACAAAGAGATAAGCAACATCGGCACAACCATCAAAAGAGACAGTTGAAAAATTGAAAAAGAAACAAAAGAGACCCAAATGCCAGCAAAGAGTAACCAGCTAAACAGGGATTAGCATCAGTCCCAGATCAGATTTATCGGATTAGATTAGATTAGGGATTAGATTAATATCAGACCAACAATCGAGAAGGAAACAATGGCCTTATCAAGCAACTACCAAGAAGAGAACAATGGGGTCAGCTTTGGAAGCCATATTTTACTTAGAAGCTTTGAAGCTGCGACGTTTTTAATGCCTGGGAATTTGAGAGGGGGGATTGCATAGAGAGGTGGAAGATTAGACGCAACAACATTCTTCTCATAAAGTCAAGGACAAGTTACCCCGCACCTGGGAAGGAGCATCTGGATGAATGTCTTCGGTTGAGACGACGTTTGATTGGGCCATATGATGGACTGGTGGGTGCAAGGGATGGTTTTTGGGATTTCAGTTGGGAAGTGGAAACCCGGAACTCTCAGATTCGGGTTTTTCCAGATGTGCCAGTATGGCTTCTTCAATTAATTCTTACTTGGATGAACTGTTGTTTCTGAGCGCTGACAGAAATGGGGAGTATCCTTGGAACGCTGACACAATGCTCCCATCAACACTGATAGGGCCAACCATTGGTATAGAGACAGAAAGCAAACTCCACTCCCTTCTAGCACTGATACTATTACCTAGTTGGGTAATGAAACATCTGCAAGAAAACGGCCCAGCTCAGGGAGCACCAAGGACCCCACAGTAGAGGGAATAGAATGGAATAGAATGAAACAGAATAGAACAGAACAGTCATGGGCATATCATCAAAATTCAGATGCTTACCAACTGGTTCCTATTTATGATGCTTGCAATATCATAAGGGGGTCATGCAATCCCCTTGTTGTGACCTTCGGACAAGCAAAGTCAATGTTCTGATTTAGGCTTCCTTAGAAAGCATAGAACACAATCTTAGTCCCGGCAAAACCTCTTTTATTTCCACGGCTGTGAATTACGTTCATTCACAGACTGCAAGGCTTCGCGAACAGTCTTTCAGGGGAATGTTTTATAAACACCCAACCTTATCACACTTGGAATACGGCCAGAGAACACATTGCCAGACACTGGGCAAGGCCAAACTTGACACAGAGTCAAACAGGACTTTTCAAAGCTTGAACCGACCAGGCAAACTAATTGCTTCCTGCAAAAGCTCATGTCCCATTTACTCCTCTGCTATGTCCTATGGGAGGGGCCAATCATCTCCGAGGTGTGGCCTTACTCCTGAGTTGACCTTGCTTTCTCAATTGCTCTTGTCTTCTGGTAGCCCTGTGCATGCACAGGTCGGGAACTGGCTCCAGAAACTCCTCCACCTCTCTGCTGTCCGAGCCTGAAGGCAGCTGATGACTGCCAGCCTGCCCTGGCCCCATCTCTGCCTCCGATGCAGAGCCCTCATCCAAGACTGGCCTCAGGCCTCCAAGACTGGCCCAGGTTCCTCCCCAACCTCCTCACTCCGTTGAGTCTGACTTTGCTGCCAGCTCCGTCAGCCGCCGGCGGGCCACAACAGTCAATGGGGAAACCAGATTCACTTAACAACCGTGTGACTAAGTCAACGGCAGCGATTCCTTTAACAACTGTGGTGAGAAGGGTCATCAAATGGGCAAAACTAACAATTGTCTCACTTAGCAACAGAAATTGTGAGCTGAATTGTAGTCCTAAGTCAAGGACTCCCCCTGTATATTTCCTTTCAAAGTTTCATGGAAGATATTTCCTACTCCCGGGTGTACTGAATTAATCATCCTTATATATATATATATTTTAATTGCATCATTCTGAAATATCTACTCTTTGGAGGAACAGAGAATATACGCTGGAGAAGGGATGGGGGAGACAGTTGGCAGGTGACCAGCAGGGTCCATCCCATCCAATTAAAAAGAAAAGGTTAATCTTCTGATTATATTTGATGAACCGCTTCGACTGGAGGAAGTTCAAACAACTTCTACTCCCTTCAGGAACGGTTCAACTTCGCCTGCCAATACTGGATGTTAACTTTGACTTGAAGGCTGAGCCACACCGGGGAATAAAAAATAAAAGTGTGGTGTCAACCCAGCCTTTTCAAAGTTGAGCATGACATCATCGTCTGTGCTCAGAACTCTCCCAAAATGACTTGATGACCTGGGCAAATTGCTGTCATTACGGCCTAATCCACACCCTCACAAATCAAGCAGAAGCTTTTGGGAGAAGAGAAGGATGAGCAGACATGAGATCAAGCATCTCCTCTTATCTAATTACTTTTCAAGATGCATTTCGCCTCCAGATATATATATATATATATATATATATATATTTTTTTTTCCCCCCTGAATTTTTTTTTTTAAATTAAAAATCCAGGATAAAAAAAAAAAAGCCACGTTGTTCCAAATCAAAGAAAGATTAAGATTAGTTTCCTTGACAGGGCAGATGATTGAAGGATGTCTTAAATGTTTCTTTTACTGTACAGGTGGTCCTCAACTTATGGCCACCGTGGAGTCCCAATTTGGAGTCCCAAATTGCTAAGCGAGACAGTCTGTTGTGGCCTGTGGGCTGTCGGCCCTTCCAGCAGCTGAATCGAGGAGGAGGAGGAGGAGAAGGAGGAGGAGGAGTAGGAGTAGGAGGAGGAGGCATGAGAGTCAAGGTCAGCATTAGGGCAACCAGAGAGATGTGAGTGGGAAGAGGGAATGGAGCCGGCAGAGAGAGAGAGAGAGAGGGAGGGAGGGAGGGAGGGAGGGAGAGGGAGAGGGAGGGAGGGAGCCTGGGCCATCCATCAGCCCTCAGATGGACAGTCAACAGCCCCCAGGTCTGGAGGTGGGAGAGGAGGAACAACTGGGCCCAGTGCCTGACGCATGGATGCACAGAAGGCAGAGGAGAGGAGAGCAGTGGAAATCTATGGGCCGGTCCTTGGGATGGAAAAGCCACCACTGCTAGTGAAGCCCCACCCTAGCTCTGGGCATAAAAGGCAGGGGGCAGAGATGAATAGATGTGGCAGACAACTATTCATCTCCCTGCTGAACAGACTTGTTAACCTGCGTTGTGTTCTGAGCAAGGCTTCCTGAGACCGCAATTAAGCACACGCTTAGTTAAAACAACTCTTGTTTTATTTCAACGCTGGGAATTATGTTCATTCCCAGCCCGTTAGGAGTCCCAAGCAGTCTCTTGAGATAAGCACCCCTTTTCTCTCCTTTGAATTGCTGCCAACAGCTGAAGTGCCAAATTAACTATAAAAAAACCAATCGAAGTACAAAGTCCACACAGAGCTTCAAGGTTTAATCCGAACAGAGTGAATGACTTTGCTTCCTGCAAAGGTTTCTTCACCTTTGCCTGTCCTTTATACCTTATGGGAGGGGCAATCACCTCCAAGCCTTACTCCCGGGTCACCCCTTTTGTCTCAGCTGCTCTTGCCTTCTGGCAGCTCTGCACATACGCGCACTGGGAACAGGCTCCCCTTGTTTCTCTTCCTCACTGCTGCCAGACTCCGGAGGTTCCGGAGTCAGCACCCCACTCCCAGATGGTCCTGGCCCCATCTCTGCATTGGACGCAGGACCCTCATTCGAGTCCTCTCCAGACTCCCGGATTGGTCCCCGTTCTTCCCCACTGTCCGATTCCGCTGCCGTCTGCACAGGCTGCCGGCGAACCACAACACCTTGAGAATAAAACTTTTTGGCAGGACCGCTGGCACTCCTAATAAAACAATCATTGAGTTAACTTCAGAGGGTTTGTCGTATTTGGGGGAGTTGGATCAGAACACCATCGTTAAGTCAGTTTTGCCTCATTTTATAACCTTTCTTACTATGGTTGTTAAGTGAACCACTGCAGTTGCTAAATTACAACATGGTTGTTAAGTAAATCTGGCCTCCCCACTGATTTTACTTGTCAAAAGGTTGCAAATACACACCAGTTTCCACGCACCCCAATTTTGATCCCACGACCCTGGGGAAGCTGCAACAGTCGTAAGTGTGAAAAAAACATTTATAAATCATTTTTTTTCGCTTGCCATCGTAACTTTGAACGGTCACTAAAATGAATGGTTGCAAGTTGAGAACTACCCATAAAATGTGATTATAATTAGTCTCCCCCCGCCCCCAGGGGACCTTTTGGGAATGTTCACCCTGTCTGCATAGTCACACAATCCTTCCAGAAAGGGCTGCTAAAAAATAAAAAAATAAAAGCCCTGTGTTGCTGTGAAAATTTTCTTTTTCTTTTTTTTTTGAAAATGCTCGTCAACTTTCTGCACTTTGACTTGTTAAAACGGAAGATGGATACAATCAAATATGGTCCCCCGTAGCATTCGTGCAAGCATGCATCTACAAAGTTGCACACAGTGGGATCTGCAGATTAATTATTTTTTATCAGCCATGAAAACCTGCATTTGATTAGATGTGGGGTAATCTTTCGGAGCTGAATGCTAACACTGCAAAAAAAATTTTTTTGAGCCTACCGTGAACAAGTCTGGAATGCAATGTGGCTGGATGTCTTTCTTTCTTTCTTTCTTTCTTTCTTTCTTTCTTTCTTTCTTTCTTTCTTTCTTTCTTTCTTTCTTTCTCTTTCTTCTTTCTTTCTTTCTTTCTTCCTTCCTTCCTTCCTTCCTTCCTTCCTTTCTCCTTCCCTCTCTCTCTTTCTTTTTTCCTTTCTTTCTCCCTCCCTCTCTCTCTTTCTTTTTCTTCTTTCTTTCTTTCTTTCTTTCTTTCTTTCTCTCTCTCTCTCCCCTCTCTCTTCCTTCCTTCCTTCCTTCCTTCCTTTCTCCCCCCTCCCCCCCTCTCTCTCTTTCTTTCTTTTTCTTTCCTTCTTCCTTTCTTTCTCCCTCGCTCCTTCCCCCTCTCTCTTTCTTTCTTTCTTCTTTCCTTTCTCCCTCCCTCTCTCTCTTTCTTTTTTCCTTTCTTTCTCCCTCCCTTCCTCTCTCTTTCTTTTTCTTCTTTCTTTCTTTCTTTTTCTTCTTTCTTTCTTTCTTTCTATCTTTCTCTCTCTCTCTCTCTCTCTTTCCCTCCCTCTCTCTTTCTTCCTTCCTTCCTTTCTTTCTCCCCCCTCCCCCTCTCTTTTTCTTTCTTCTTTTCTTTCTCCCTCCCTCCCCTCCCCCTCCCCCCCTCTCTCTCTTTCTTTCTTCCTTTCTTTCTTCCTTCCTCCCTCTCTCTTTCTTTCTTTTTCCTTCCTTCTTTCTTTATTTCTCTCTCCCTCCTTCTCTCTCTCTTCCTTCCTTCCTTTCTTTCTCCACTGGCAGAGTATCCAATGTTTCCTCCAAGAAATTTATAAAGATTGCAACCAGGTTTAGAAATTAGCCAATAAGTAAATAAATAAATAAAGCTAAGGACTGCAGATCCTAATAATTTCTAAGAGTTGCTGGGAAGTCATTTCCTTTTAAATCCTTTAAAAAAAAAACCCAAGAATGAATTGGAAATCGGAACAATGGGGGTTTATGCCACATACAGGTATTCCTCAATTTACAATCATTTGTTTAGTGAGCGTTCAAAATTGGAACAGCACTGAGAAAACCGACTTCTGACCATTTTTCACGCTTAGGACCAATTGTAGCATCCCCATGGTCACGTGTCTAAAATTAAGATGCTTGCCAACTGACTCGCGTTTATGACGGTGGCAGTGTCCTGCGGGTCACATGTGACCCTTTTGCCAACTTCTGACAAGCAAAGTCAACGGGGAAGCCAGATTTGCTGAACGACCGTGTGACTAACTTAACAACGGCAGTGATTCCTTTAACCTTAATTTAAAACCGTGGCAAGGAAGGTCGCAAAATGGGGACAGAACCCACTTAAACATCTGTCTTGCTTAGAAACAGCAATTGCGATTGGAGCAATGGAAAATTGGGGCTCGATTGCAGTCGTTCAGTCGAGGAATGCCTGCATTCCCATGCAAAGGGGAATTTAGCTGAAAATGTTCATTTTCGACAAATGAGCTGTACACGAACCCCTAAAATCACCCAAACTCCTTTAGTGTTATGCGTAGCCAGCATTACAGGCAGTTCCTGACTTACGACGACAAAATTGCAATTGCCATTCATTAAGTGATTTCCTCCCCACTCCATTTTATGACCTTTCTTGCTCATAAGAAGGTCACAAAAGGAGACTACAACCATCATAAATATGAGTCAGTTGCCAAGCGTCTGAATTTTGATTACGTTACCACCAGTTGTAAGTATAAAAAGCGGTTGCAAGCAGCGGTGGGATTCAGCCGGTACGGACTAGTTCGGGTGAACCAGTAGTTCCGGTGATCAGTTGGCCCCACCCACTCACCCCTTCGTTAGTCTATCCTATATTTCCTTTAATTCAGAGGTGGGTATTCAGCCGGTTCTGACCCGTTCTGCAGAACCAGTAGAGGAAATGTTGAGTAGTTCGGAGAACCAGCAAATCCCACCTCTGACCTGGCCCCGCCCCATCTAGTCTCCGCCTCC